TCAGTTCATCTCCGCAACAGTCAAAGTGCCATTTTGTTTATATGAGACCCATATACTCGCACATGCGCAGCGCGACGACTACCGCGCTTCAAAATTTATCATTTTTATATATACGTCTATGGCAGAGGTATTATCAATAGGCATGAAAGTAATTATTTGAGGTAATAAACTACATACGCATATACCTAACATCCGGCTACTTTTGAAGACACTATGATGTGTTATCGTATGATTATCTAAGGTTTGATTGAGAAATGTGTTTGTGCAGTTTGTTACAGTCTCCGGGGAAACTCGGGATTCTAGACACGAAAACCATGATAGTTCTGGAATTTCGGATAGGACCCTACGCATTCAAGCCTGAATACCGCCTCTAATTTAAGCTTCAAGGAAAAGTGAAAGGCCTTAATTGGCTTTTTAATTTTGTTGGTAACATAAAGTATATTCTAAAAGAACTTTCAAGATTATTATAAAGTGAGGCGAACATTGGTGCAGATTTCGTATTCATTATTAATTAATGCAAGACCTTCTTTTTTTCGGCCCCATAATATTTGCAGGTTGGCATCTCTCTGTAACACAGCTTTGCACAGGTCCACATAGTTTGCTGGCAACGAGCAAGAATCTTGACTCCCAGAACAGTTTTTGAGTGATCACTCTCTATGTTGTCATGAACTAATCAGGCGACATTATGTCACGGTGTTACACTTGAATTTTCAGTTACAGCCGCGTGAGGGCGTTTGTATTGAGAACAATTTCGACGTAGCATGTATTTAAACCCTTGGAATTCGACACACACACAAATACATTTAAATTAACAGTACATACACATAGTATTACGTAACTAAAACAATTCGCAAAATTCACCTCCCCTTCTGGTGCATTTCCACAAACCAGGTTTTAAAATTCATAGTATTTCCCATTGAGTCGTCTGTATAGTATAGTTAGCTAATAAAGTAGTTTGTTTTTAACATTTTTATTTCGATCCAGGATTGGGTTCAACGACCCAACCAATGAGCAAAGAGCTAAATGTAGCAACGTGATTAAAATAATATAAAACTGGAGCACACTAAATATGAAGCAATCATGCAATAAGACCCGCCGAGTTTTCGCAGTAGTATGAAGCCGGAGCTCTATAATCAATAGCATAAAGTTGAATGCCATTGTTTATCTCACCTGACAACTCAGAATGCCCTTGTTCAGGATGAATGCATTTGCAAAAGAATCAACTAAGATGGAACTGAAGCTCCGAATAAACAACAATCCTGGTTAAAACAATTCAGAACTGAAATATAGCATTCACATTGTCACATTGACCAACTGTTACTGTATCCGTTAAAAACCATAAATATAGATAGGTTATCATCATGTATATTAAGGTTTAGAACAAACAACCTAAAGCTGCAAACATGTTTTAACCATGAACAGTACTGTGTCTCTGGTACTGGCCTGTGTAGTTGTCATGTGAATTCTAAATAAAATAAAATAAAACAGGTTCATTGTCGAATAATTTAGTATTTCTCTATTTGACTATATTTGGACCAATCTATATCCATATATTTAATTAGGGCACAGTAGCGGCGGAACAGAATCGTATAAATATGGTATTTGTCGGATATTACATTGCATTGGAATTGGTATCCATATCACACATAATCGCGTGCAGATGAGCGAGGGTTTTATTGCAAAGGTTGCAGCATTACAACAATATCACTGCACGTCTACAAAAGATATCTAACTGGTGACAGATAGAGGTCAGTATTGGAGACACTGTAGAATATCGTTACATGTCAGTCGGACATCCCAAACATAAAGACTTTCCTAAAAAGATACACATTTTGATTTGTGATTTCATTAAATTACACAGCCATTCTGATTACATAGTCCGCAATAGGTTTTCTGTTTTTGCTTTCTGACTTCCGTGAAACTTAGGATGATGACAAAACATATTGAGCTGCAGGTGCAACGAGGTTTTTTCGCCATTCGAATCAAGATTTTTGTCGTGTCTCAAACTTTATCGTATACCTTTACTTTTAAGCGTTTTCTAAATGACTTTGTATGATTTAAAATCAAAGCCAATTACGTTTTTAAAATTTTGATTTTGTATTTGACAGATAGCACTCCCGAAAATAATAAATATCTAAGACACCATACGTACCATTAACCTATTCCAATTGTTACATTATCGATCTAGTGTACATCTTAGGAGAAGGTCACAAAAAAGTAAAAAAAAATCGTAATGCCATAACGGATCGGACATTTTTCAATTTCATTTTTCGGTAACACTATATAAATGTCAAAAATGGCAGATCCCCTCTACATCAACAATACTTTACACTGTAACACCGAACAGAAGTTTCAACATATATATATTCAACATATGTATATATGAGAGGATATCAGTACGCGTACATGATGTGATTTTATTGATTCAATTCCATGACTCCTGCCTTCCCAAATGTTGGTAATAAAACAATCACTATGTGTGCCTTATCTCCTATTCCGACAAACCTGGCTAGGACTATCCGTCAATCAGCATTTAAGGTGCAAATAAGTTTAATCGTATGACATCGAATTAGAGGAAACGACTGGTACTATGCCTGCACGGCATACATTTCCGGTTTTAATTATAATATTTAGCTGTTGATTTTGCTAACGACATGCTCCATGCTGTGCAAAGCACAGACAACGCAGACTAAATCCAACTATAATTGGCAAAGCTGGTGTAATAGACGTGTCGGGAATACTGATTATTTGATTTAATTGTGTTATCAACAACTCAAGGATGCGCAATATTTACATGTTACTTGTATACACTGGCCCTCCTTTATCGCTAGTCTCGAATACAGTCACAGGAAATTGATGATAAAAATACACGTTACTGAAAATGTTCCAGTCGCAACAAAACAAGACAAATATGAGGGGGATTATAGTCACAAAGCTAGAATATGCCATTTGGTAGCAGCTATCCTATAAACATAAATAATGCATATATTTTGACAAATTATATTTCTACAAATTATTGTGCACTTTTGTAGTAAGGCGGTATCATCATATGACAAGCGTTCGATTTTAAATAAGCTGAAAGTACTCAACTGGCGGCTCAGATGAATTTTAGTTTAAAATAATGTGGTCTGGGAGGATTGTTTCAACTTAATACATTACTATGATAACACTAGAAGAAGGATGCAATTTTCCAGTGATTTATTTTACATAAAAAATCCGGTGAGCCCCACAGAAACAATATTACTAACTACGTTGAGGACGACTTATATGAACCTTTTATATGCCCTTTTTCGCAATCGCAGATGAAACAGTACGATGGGCGTTCAATAAGTAATGACCCTGACCCACTTCCAGTTGTCTGATCTAGATGAAATGTAGCATGTGTAATGATTTACGTCTCTATGGGTTGCAAAAAATAGCTTTGAACTGATCGTGGTTTCTGATTTACAGGTGTTTGAACTAAGTGTCGAGCAGTGATCAAGTTTTTGTATTTGAAAGGACGCACACCAAAGGAGACTTTTGATGAAATGAAAGAAACTTATAGTGATGATGCCCCATCACATGACCTTGTAAAGCGCTGGCATCGTGAATTCAAACATGGCCGGAAGTCTGTGGAAACAGCTCCCAGAACTGGTCGTCCCTCTTCTGCCATTGATGAGGCATCTGTCTGTCAAGTTGAGGCAGCCATTTTGGAAGATCGACGCTTTACTGTTCGCCAAATAGCCAAAAAGGTCAATATTAGTACAGGGTCTGTGGAAACTATCATTCATGACCATTTGCATATGCATAAGGTGTCTGCTAGATGGATTCCCAGGCTGCTCACACCTTTCCAGAAGCAAGAACGCGTCGAGTGCTCTAGGATGAATTTGGAGATGTACCAAGAAGATGAGTCAAAGTTTTTTCAAAAGATTCATTACACAGGATGAAACTTGAGTCCATCACTCTGATCCAGAGACCAAAGCCCAGTCAATGCAGTGAAAGCACTTGGACTCACTCCTCCAAAGAAGGCAAGGGTGCAACCCTCCGCTGTCAAGGTCATGCTCACAGTTTTCTGGGACCAGGACGGAGTAGTGATGACAGATTTCCTGGCAAGGGGTACTACAACTACAGGAGCCTATTACGCTTCACTTTTGATAAATTAAGCGAAGCTATCAAAATCAAGAGGCGGGGCAAGACCAGCAAAGGTATCCTTCTCCTGCAGGACAATGCTCCGGTCCGCAACTCGCATGTCGCCAGATCAGAAGCACAGGCGTGTGGCTATGAAATCCTCCCCCATTCCCCTTACTCTCCTGACCTTGCACCCTCTGTCTTTCATCTCTTCCCAGCCATGAACTTGTTTTGAAAGAAAACCGTTACCCAGATGATGCAGCCTTGATTTCTGAAGTTACGACGTGGTTGGAGGACCAACCTGGGGTGTTCTACAAAAACAGTGTCCAGAGCTGCATCAAACGATGCGAGAAATGCATTACTCTGGCCGGTTCCTATGTAGAGAAAGACCAATAACCGTGCCCAGTTTCATCAATCTCTTGCTATGAGAAATTGGTCTGGGGCATTACTTATTGAACGCCCCTCGTAGTAACTTGGAGAGTTGCACATATACAGATCTACACATCAAACTCATGAATATTTATACGCACTATTAAAGCATGGAACGTGAACGTAAAAGCTGTTAATAACATGAGATAATGTTTACATCCTTACATATACAATGTGGCAATAGAAAGTGAACATAGACTGGAATCCTTTTCCACTTTGTATTTATCATATTTACGATCTCTCCTTATCAAAAACAGTTTGATGAACAAGACGATCGAGCATTTTAATTTGGGTTTATTCTTTAACACAAAACAAATATTTTTCAAGTACAAAGTAGAATTTAAACTTGTGTTACCAAGATAATTTATCTGTGGAGCAGACTTTGCTTTGCCATTCGATAAATAAAATAGTTCTCAACCTGTCAGAGAAAAATCAAGTTCTCGACATCACATGGTAATGGACTAGAAGGTTGTGATAACTTGCACTGAGGGAGGGAACAGCACAAAGCTTTACGTTCCCTCCGACTGAAACAATGTGCAATGAATAACCCGATATGGAGTATTGCGAATTGCGAGGTATTTATTTACAAAAAGTACATTTCTAGAAATACCCGTACAAATAAGTTAGACTGTTAAAAAACTGTTCGGTGCTCGTGTCGTGTTTTATTGCTTTTTTAATACAACTATAATATTGCTCACTTCTGTTTACGCAAAAGAACGTTTTTTACCCGTCTTGTGATGCTATTGATCAAAACGAGTTCGATTGATTATTGAATAGTTGGCTAACATAAACGTTTTAATATGTTTCGTTGTAAATATATGCTTGTTTGTTGCACGTTATTCCAATACCACATGCCACACAATCTGTAGGCGTTATAAGCTTTAATTATTAACTTATCATTGCAAAATTAATTTAACTACAATAACTCTATAATTATTTAGATTCCATTACCAGCTGTATCAGTCCGCTTGACATCATCTGAACAAGTCAGGGCCATCCTTAATTAATAGCAAATTGAACAATTATTAATTTCCTTGATTGAAGGAACTTTAAGAGCATTCAACCAAAATCAGTTTTCCAAATATTATAAATTTAACAAGTGTAGACCAAAATGTATTTCAAAAGTTGCTTAACTCTTCTGATTAAGAGTAGAATTAGAAAACAAACTCTTCACGATCTGACCATTGTGGATTCGCATCTAATCCAGTGAGCATGTCTGTTGCCACGCGCAAGAAAGCATTCTCAATCTGTTACAGCTTTGGCCAGAAAAGAACCAAATAAGCAGATGAGGAGTTAGGCCGATTATGTAAATTAGCTGATATAATCATGTCTGTGAGCTTCATTATATCAGTCTTGTCTGCTGATTGAAAGTATTTACTGCAGGTGGAGCAACATAGTTGTGTCTGTTGAAATATAACGTAAGTATTCTATATTATAAATGAAATTAATGATTCTCACTGAATTACATAATGTATAACAACAAACTGTATGTTAATTAAGTGGTATTTATCTGTTCGAACTAAAAAATAACTAAATAAATAATAAATGAGACGATTAGGCATTACTAAATTTTGCCCATCTATTGACGGACTAAACGTTATGTGTGAGCTTGAGTTCAAGTGTATAACGAATTGTAGACTTGGTGTTTAAAAACTCGGCAGCATGACGTTGTTGTTTTACTTAAATTCAGGCCACCTTGTTAACATATATACTGTTTATAATTAAAATCTGTCTCTTTCTAATAAATATTTGTTTTATTTTTTTGCCATTCAACTGTAAAGTTCATTACTTCTGTTCCACGCATTATGACCGCATATGGTGTAGCTGTTACTCGTGTATTAGACGTTTATTGTCGATCAGGAATTTGTATTTTCAAGTTTAAATTAATCTGTAGGATTATGGAAGGTTTCAGTCTAAAGTGTGTGATTGTGTTAGCTATCTTTGGATTGTTTCTATCTGACGTAAGGGCGCTAAAGGTGAGTAAGTGCATTGGAACATTTAAAAGTATCTCGGGGCTTGAAGTCACATACTTGTTCCATTACGTGGATGTGGCGTTTTATAAAACATAGATTTATTAATCTGATTCAACATAATTGTAGCTAATTTAAATGGAAGTTGTTATGCAAACAAATATATACTCTGTGATTTACTAACAAACCACATATACGACAGCCTACCTGGAAAACCAATCAAGAATTGCTATGACTTACCGGCAAACTATTCCCTTTAGCAGAGCAGAAAATGACTTTTGAACAAAACACCCAACTTCGAATATTCAGCTTTTATATGTAAAACAGTGATATTTACAACTTGGGGCACCACAGTCGAACTGAAAATATATATATTTCCATATATGCAGATACCGATCAGTCATATTGATCAATAAACGTCAAATGTGGCACTATATGGACGAGCGATTTCCATCAATGTTGTGATCCTCCTATTCTGCTAGTGATACTTCATCACAGTGTTATATTAGGCAGCGAATGACTCCTTAAAATGAATATCTCGTGTTTGCTAGTAATCGGTTATTGGCTGTTAGCCGCTGGATGATAGGTGTTTTGACGCAACTCTACTTGATAGCCACATGTTCGTGATAAGCAATGTAAAGCCCTTGAATGGCATGCAACAACAAGTGGTTTTAGCAGGTCATTTAAACACTGTTGCTTAGCCAAAATGGGACATATTGACCACGCCGAAACAGGACGTTTTTTTCACAAGTTCACCCGGTCTTTTCTCCAGTGAATATGTCCGTTTAGTATTTTAGTAAAGATTCGTTATTAGATAAAATGTTGAAGGAAAACCATGCTCAAAGGTCGTAACAATTCAATTATGTTCAATCTGTGAACTGCGAGTGCAATCAGAAAGAAATAGATTTGCATTCGCAGTTGTATTTATTATATTACGGACTGTAATATTTGTTGTCATTTTTATCTAGGAGAATAAATCTAGATGGAATTTTCCAAGAACCATCCGTAAGTTGGCATTTTTCTATTTCAAATAAACGTTTCACATATTATTCTGGTGTCAATGGACGCAATATTATTGCATTCACTTCTTCATTGGCGGCAATTGGTTCAGGAGTACCCACTCCAACACATTTAAGCAGAATATCTTTGAGTGAACAGTGGTTTTCTGGTAATTTAGCAGGACGATTCATTGACCCAAAACTGGCACAGAAGGTAATTTTTAAATATAAATTCGTCCCATGGCATACTTGAACAGTGGTTTCTATTAACACTTTTATGATAATGAAATTGTCTTATTGTAACAATTTGCTATTTATTCTTTAAAATATGAATTTTTAATATTTTACATTATTCTATTTCAATGAAAAAGATGACACCGTCCTGTAGGCTAAATAAAGTCTTTAAAGTTTCACTATTGAAGAAAAACTAAAATCCTCGTATCCATGGAAAAAAAATGTATTTGTAAAATACATCACATGTATGCTTTCTTTGAATTGTTAGCTCTTGTAGGTTCTAGCGACGTCATGTCTTCATTGTGTTAGCTACTATTTTATATAATCATTTTGATTTGATGTTGTTTGATTTCAGCGATTGACCATTCGTGTAATGGTAAGTGATATTTCAAAATAATAATGATGAGATTCTATGGAAAGTGAGATTATTACGTAACTACTTCCATCTTTTTTTCGCAGTACACTTGACGCCCACACCTACGAAACCTGAATTGTTTGTAATATAATAATAATAATAATCTATCATGTAATTTATTAGGAAACACACTAAAACGAACAAATTTTAATTAACTACAGTGGCTGGTAGCTGCACTGTTGAACCATCGGAAGGTGTATTTATGGAAGGCTTCTGTGCAGCGATGTGCCCAAATACTTCCAGGGAGGTGTACGATTATAAAAAACGACAAGCTTGCGGCGACGATAGTTGTAGGTGTTGCATCGAGGAGAAGGGTAGGCTACCATCAGTATTATGTTTAATTCTGATTTTTGTTTTATGATGTTGAACTTACTATATTACAACGTATCCAACAGAGATTAGAAGTGTATTGCTCATGATATACGTTATGTATCTTCAGATTTATTTATTTTGTATAATTATTTATTTTTGTTTGTATTTGTTCATTTCGACATGTTTCAATTTCAGAGATTGTTAAGCGTTCGCCGTCACTTCGATGTAACTTAATTGACAGTGAGTTGTATTCATTGTTTCAGTGAAGAATATAAATATCAATATGTATTTAGAATAAATGTGTATTTCTTTTTAAGACATGTATCACTCCAAATATTATTGTTTGCATAATATGTATTCCAAATTTGTACTCCGAATATGTGTATTAAAAAATGACTTCATGAAAATTACACACATGCAATATTATATTAAAACAGGCAAAGATTGTTATCAACATGGTGGTTACTGTCAGGACTGGAACGAAGACGGTGCGTGTGAAGCTGGGACCAGACTAAGTGTTCATTCTACACCCCTCTGTCTAGTCCGTAATTGTTTCTGTTGTAAACGTAAGTTTATATGGTTTGAGAAAATCAATGTATAATTGTACGGACGGTTACCAATACTGAGTCAACTGTTACATCAAGGAATACATAGTGTTAAGTGTTGACCAAATAATTTGAATCTCCAATCGGACAATTAGACAGAGATTTACATATTTGTTTTATGTAACTTAAATTTGGAAAAAATTAAATATTCTGTTAAACTTCAACTTTCTCCTTTTTAAATCAAACATTGTTTTGCGACAAAAAATATAGGGGCTCGAGATACTGTGTAAGTGGCAGTTATTGATTTGTTTGTGAATGTGGAGGTGAACCGGGGTGCGTACGGGTGTGTTTGTTAATAGATAAATGAAACACATCAGTCGAAATTTATCAGTTACGCTAGTAACGTTTATACAAGTCACGTATGCAAGGAATATAGCATAGAAAAATTATTTTAGATCTATAATTATACCAGAATACAATGTTAATAAATAAGATAAATACGAATTTTTCCTCGTTATATGGCAGCATATGGTAAGTTGTTTGTTGTTTATCCCATAGAACCTAGATATTTTTATACACCACATTGAAAAAGGCTATAATTGGTTAACTATCATGCAATGTAGAAAATTAATATGTGCGGATTACAACCCTATAGTAATCGATGTGTGGTTTATCCCACTGCACTCTATGGTCTAATTTATAAAAATTATGCAATTAACATAATCTAAAGTGGCCTTTGTCTGTAAAGAACCGACTCAATTAAAGTACATTAATAAGTTATATAATAAAAACACCGATACTTTGTCCAAGACGGAGAAACAATAGTCCACGTAACGCGCCTTTGTTTGAGTTTATAAGAAAATCTTGTGCTCAATTAAATATGCCCTTAGTGTATGTAGAAAAAGTAAATCTTTAAATTTCAACCTCCCGCTACGTAACTCGTCGAAAAACAGGCTGTCATTTAAAAAAAATGTAAAATTTAAGGGAATATTGTAATAATAAGTTATAGGTTGCTGTGTATTCGTTACGAATGTTTGACGACACGTAGCAGTCGTTAACCAGTTTTGTTATTCAAGTAATAGCCACCCCCCCCCCCCCTCAGCAGAGGCGAGTATACCATGAGACTTGAATCAGTATAATCCCATATACACACGAGCAATACACTGGGGAAATATAATTTCACACAAAAATAAAATATAATTGTAATACCTCCCAATAGAAGAAGCTTTGGTGATACATTATGTACATCCAAAACAAGTTCACGTTTAATCTAGAATGTCACTGACAACGTCAATATTAGCAGCGTGATTAATACATAAAAAACATAATTGAATCTTTTTATCTTTTGATACATGCTTACGAGCTTTGTGATTTTTTTCTGGATTTAATGTAATCTCTTCTCTTTTCTACAATATATGAACTTCCAGCCCAAACCAAGGGTCAACCGCTGAATCAAGGTAGGAATATAGAAGTAGTCTATGCATATACTGTCTTAATAAACTCCAATGCATGGAAAATTCGACAATATAATACTCTGATTTCATCACTTTACATTTCAGGATATCACACAGTTGTGTTTCTGGATCCTCACTTTCGAACATTTGACAACAGACAGTATAATTACAACGGCCAAGGAGGATGTTCGTATGTTCTATTTCAAGAATGCGTGCACAACCCGTCATTCTTTGTTGTGATCCACCTTGACTACAAAGACAAAACAGAAAAAACCCTTGTTGAAGACGTGACTGTACATGTCGATGACATGGCTGTCACGCTGGTTTATAACAACGACATTTTCGTAAGTGCTAAATTAGTTATCAGAAGTCTATTTCTATCTCGGGCATTGATACATTCTTTGTATTGTGGTTATCGCTTTGTCTTATTATGTATTAAGTTTACATTGACGACCTATATATCAACTTGCGTGTATATATATCTTGCAACAGGTATGTTGAACCAATTGAAAATGATACGTCTTAGACCGCGTGGGTTTGCTTCTCACATTTATATCTCAACAATTTCACGTTATTCAGGTTTAGTGTATTTGTGGTATATATTATGTATGTATGTATGTATGTATGTATATATGTATGTTGTGTTATAATAATATCACATGATAAGGACAATTATCATCGACACTAATTATAAAATTAAATAACGCAGAGTAAACAGCAATTGTGTATCTATTCTATGTCATTCATTGTTTATTACCATTGTATCAATGTATTATCTTCACAACAGTTGAATGGTAAACTGTTAACTAAACCACTTCCTTGGAAAGTTGGTGATTTTAGTGTAAATAGATACAGCGAACACGTAAAAGTTACATTGGATTCTAAGTTTTCCTTGTTATGGAATGGCAAAGGTCGTGTCGCACCAACAGTTAATCCCTCTTTGTATGGAAAAGTGTGTGGTTTGATGGGAAACGCCGACGACAATCCAGACAATGATTTCCAGACGCAGATGCCAGATGGAACACTGCAACCTACCAATGATACCAGAGCATTCGGCGATAGCTGGCTTATTCCAGGAAGGTAAGGATCATGTATCTTTATATAATCATGAATGGAGTAACTCTTTACAATATATATAGTAAGTGTTGAATAATTGAATAAATGTGTTACTAACATTAATATAATTCTTTCTGCAGCTGTTAAACCATTGGGTGTGTGTATTGGGAAATGGATTGAAGACAACCATTGTTCTGGATTATGGTATCATGTAGTCTACATAATTTAGTTTGTCATATGCTGCTTGCTTTGCGGATGCTAATGCTAGTTAGTGTAATCATTATTGCATCGCTTATAACATATTTTGTTCGATTAACAATTTGTTATAGTGGCTTGATTTAATTTTGCAATATTTGTGAATATGTGAATAAAGGGAGCATACGGTAAAATTTGAGAACCTTGTTTGTTTTTTTGTTTGAAACATTTGTCCCAATCACTCAGGATCATCGACAGTCACTATATAAACGCACATTACCACGAGTTAATACGTTGAGCCAACTAATTAATGTTACGTGTTTGTTACAACTGTTTATGTGTTTACTCTCAGTAATACATCTGCGATATCTCACAATATTCTAACACAACACTGCTACTTGCTAGATGCATTGATCACTGAATACTATAGTCTAAACTGTATCAATTATTAGTCTGTATCAATTATTCGTGTTGATTGCGCAATATGTATCGGTCAATGACAAGTTTTGTTCGCAGACATGTTATAGTCAATCGATATTAATTATGACAAGTCACTATACGGAGTACGTTTACACACATACATACATAAGGCAATGTGTACAGTATTACATAAATTAAAATGCTACACAAGATGAAATGATCTGTCTATATATTCCGAGTTGTAATGGGACAAGCCTGGAAATGTATAACATGTAGAAGACGTCAACGTGTAATTATTTCAATTGTACGTGAATCCGAGCGTTGTCAAATACAATTACTATCTAACATTTTCATGTAAAAAGTATTAAACCTTTAGACAAAAACAAAATGTTGTTTTGAAAAGATGTCTTTTCAGCATCAACGTTCCCAGATCGAGGCTGATATAAAAGTTCAACCAACGTGTCAATTATTTAAATTTACGAATACACACATACTTACATTTGTCACATTTGTAGAATTGTGATTTTCAAATCTGTGTTAAAATGTGTTAATAATATCTATTATCACGGATTAATTCTGAAAATATCTTTTGTCTTCTTACAATTGAGCTTGTTATTGCACTCTATCAATCTCTTGTTTGGAATGTAATTAGTATAACTGACAATCAATCAATCTAATTTGCCAGTTTTTTTCTCATTTGTGCCAAAGCAATCAATGCAAGATCAGCTGTTTATGACCATGCTAACAAGATCAATACATTTTACCCTAAATATATTTCATAGAACAGCACAACTTCTTGTCTTCCACATACGATTCAGTGTAAATGGAAGGCTGCGTTGGAGAATGAACAGAACTGACGATCACGTCATTTACAAAATATGTTGAAGGGTTGAAAGAATAAATTAATGTATGAGATATGCATGATAAATTGCTACAAAATTTGATAAAAAGCTACAGTCTCGAAAAACATTTAACAAATTGATGTTTGAGAAGGAGACCGGGTCACAATTAAGAATGCAAAGTCAAGATAGCAGATGGATGGGGAAATCACCCATGTTCCATGTTATATGGAAATGTGGTTAGATATACCGGATCTCACACGTAAGACATGTAAGACAGTAACAACCTAGTAATAAAGATGTTTCAAAGCCAAAATTCAAGATGAAGTCTAAAATCAATCCTGTGTTCAAAATCAAAAAATAATTCCAGAATTATCAGAACTACTTACCATATAATATGACGCTTTTGATGAATCAAGCACTTATAATACATAGGAAGAATCATATCTTCATGAAAATGATACATATATACATATATACATTTATATAAGTAAATGGAAGAGCAAATGAAAGCCACTGCAGCATTATATCAGTGTCAGAGTTTTGTCCAAATATTCCGGAGTTCAAAGAAAGGTTTGAGTAAGTAAAACGAGCTTCAATCAAAACTGAGCAGCGACAGAAAGCATTAACAAAGAATTAAATAACGAATGCTGAATGTAAATGTTGTGATTGATTTGAACAATACACTGAATTAATGACTATGAGAATGTCTCAGATGCAAGCTGAGATTGTTGGAAACACTAACTTAGTGTTTATAAGTATATATGTTTTGAAATCTGTGTCGAAATATACAGTTAATCGCACTATGTATTTACATTGATTTGATTTGAAAAAATCAAAGCCTATTAAAGTGAATAGCGCCACCATGCTACTATTAAACAAATGCCTTTATATTTTATCTAATTTAGAACATTTAGTTCAATAAACAGAGATTGTTCTGGGTTCCATGACCAGAATCGACGTATTTTCAAGAATGACATATCATAGGTCAACATGAGCAAAATAAAATGTGCACAGCAACTTGAAACACAAAGTAAACAAAGTAGATCTGTCCTCTGAAAAACACTTCATAACGAATGACGCAGTCAAGAGTTACAAAGTGAGCAGCTGAGAAGAACTGAGCTCATAGATTCTAGAAATATTTGTGTCTTCACTTTGTCCAGGAAAAGATGGATACCTACAAACTGAACTCAATCATGCAAAGTGATAGATCTCTGGAAATGCAAGATGTCAACAACAAAACATGAAATGCAGTTATTGACAATTTTGAAGCAATTGAATTAATTCCCATCAAAGGTTAAAATTTGTTAGTTACCTTTGACATTAAATACACACTGTTAACGAACACATTCGCTATATATGAAATAAACTTTCCAAGAACGTTGTCAATGTATATGAACAGCATCATAAACGAACGTTAGCGTTATCCGCACATGTGTATGAGTGGCGATAGGTTACTTTTGGTCTTCGGAAAGGTTAGGTGAAAATTTTAAATTATCATTAGGATAAACTGCATTGTACTAATCAACTCAACATCAGTTAGGTAAATCGTTGTTTATGCATGTGTGTTATTTATATCCTCGGGTATAATATGAAATGACAATACATACACTGCCAACAAAAATGAATGTGAATAAAATTGCAATAACGTGTAAAAATAGTATATTTTTAGAGCAGATCAAGGCAAACTTATTTGGCATCAACTCAATTACCAATGCCTCCGTGAATTTAAAACCCTGCTTATAAATTTGTGTTCTGTGTATGATGGTTCGTTTTACATTAACAGCATCTAAATCTAAAATGATTCTGACAAAACCCCAGAATTGACACTGACCTTGAAGATGCCTAATGTTTCGACATCTTGAGACATCCATGCATTCAGTGACTTTACTGATTGGAAAGCAAAACGAACAGTCGTCCCATACACTGAATCGTTGCAACATATATTGACTTACATACATACATGTTGAAGTAAATGAAGTGAAACAAAACTTATAAGGATTTTCATAAATGAAGTGAAAAATATCAAGATAGTGAATGAACGATATGAGTAAAAAATATTACCCCTGGTTGTACTTTCAGTGAACACCCACCATGCATCTATCTCATACCCTTAACCGAACCAATGACCGTATTATACCCAGAATGCACTGAGGATAAAAGCGTCACTGGTCATTTCAGCACTGCGCTCACACGGTCTCCACTCCAGTAATATATCACGGTGACAAAAAGGTAATTATAACCTCTCGCCATTGCGAAAAACCATTTATTGGCAAAAGATCATAATATTGTCTAACATATGTAGTATAATAGAGCCACTCTACGAAAATAGTGGAATTTAAAGGACTTAGTATTATGGTTGTCGCTCAATGTATTTTGTTTTTAGTTCCGCATTTTTGACCTATGAACTGTCTTCATGAAATTAACTATTGTTCATTGTTTTGCTATGTCGTTGCTGTAAACAAATACTTTGGACTGTGATACTTTTATTACCTTTTTTATAGTACATACATCAAGAACCCGTGTCACTAAATTTGTCACTTGCCAAGGTATATAAATCTTCTGGGTATAACCCTTACCAACAGTGGTATCTGATACAAACATTGCCAATGTAGTCGGACATCTACCCCGTTTTTCCCAAACACATACACACCTTGTTATTATGCGATCGTCCTATGTACATGTAGTCTTGGCAAGCTACTGCTACAACCCAATTGGTCATGCAATAATGTCAACATTTCACAGACTCGATGTCAATTCATTCAATGTCACATACTAGATCACTGTCACAGTGTAAAGCCTGCTAATTGCTAATCACATCCACAGAACTCACACTGGAAGGGGATTTCTTTTCAGCTTATATGGGGTAGACAAGACAAAAGTACTGGAAATGAAATACACATACACCAAATTATCGAGTTAAAGCTCATGGCTTCAAACCTCTCAAAATAATTACAAGAAATAAAGCACAGAATTCTGGAGGGCGCCGCTAGAAGCAGAAGATTGCAGCACAGTTTATTCAAGTCTCACAGAATGATGGTTGAAGCCTGTATCACTTGCCTCACAATATCACAGCAACACACAGGATACTAAGTTGAGATTATGTACCCATACTGTCCCCAGTCTGTCAAATTTATAAGCATAAATGGCCCAGATTCAGTGACACCACCCGGGTCTCCACATGAGCCAATCAGAATGTGATCTTGCTAGCAGCTGTATTACGTAGGCAACTCAGTAGATCATAAACATCCTTTTTTATTCAAATAACAGCACACCTGGTATACTCAAATTGTCCTTTCAAAGTTGTAAACACCCTTTGTTATGTAAATCACAAGCACACCTGGTAGACTCCAACCATCTTTTCAGAGTTTCAAACAAGTATGACAGTTATCACACGGCAATGCACACCGTTTCCTACAATGACTCCACGCACACTTCTATTTGCAGGGTTTGAGGCAATATGACCAAAACAAAGAATAAAGGCTGCTGACAATCACGCTTAAACGCCGTCTACGTTCCTTGTTACAATTTCTCTCTTTACCCTCAGCCATCATGTCTTCCATTATTCTGACAATTTACCGTTCACACACTCCACAATAAGTCATTATTTATTCCATCAATGTCAACCACATTGTATTTGCACAATGGAATGCTAATATAGATTCGATATCGCTCTAACACTTAAATACCATATACATACGTGTCCCATTTGATTGGCTGTGTGTGCGTGTTCATATCAATAACTCGTTACTAGGCTGTCGCCTATTGAATCACCTATTGGATGTCATTTATCTACTACATTTGCATATAGTTCTAAATCAAAACCGTCACCACAATTACCCATTATTCAAGAAATAAATAATGTTATTATAATACTGTCTTTACCCGACAGATATGCCCAGAAACCACTTTATTAGGAGTAATAATAGTATTTTGTGTTATG